CCCACCCCAAGATGTTCTACATAAAACTCCTCCCAGCAATCCCTTCTACACTCACAGAGCCAACAAGGGTTTTCACCAGCACCTGACAGGAAATGTCCCCTGCATTCAACATTCATGGAACTTGGGCACTAGGCAGAAAGACCAACCAGGGTCCAGCCCTCAGAGAGACTACTATCATCTGCTTGGGTAGCCATACCTGACAACTTTCATGGCCAAGTAGACTTTTAGGGACTAACTTATCCCTTCCCGTCCCTTCCTTTCCCTTCTGATGCATGGAGGCTGGCTAATCCCTTCTGATGGGTAGAGGCTGGGTAAGAGCTACAGGATAATTGATAGTAGTGGCATCCAGCCTCCGCCCACTATCCCCAGTGAGGTCCTGCTCCCCAGGAACTGAGATTCCCCGGACTTGCCACGTCCATGTTCCCCTATGAGGTTACTCACATGCCATGGATCAGAGAAAATTCAAAATGGCTAATAAATATGTGATTTAAGTTTTATGTTAGCAGGAGGTCATCTCTGAAGGGGTCTTGTAGGAACTGTCTTGTGAATTATTTCCTTCCTGAGCCTCTACCTTTTTTTTTTTTTTTTTTGGAACTTCAGGGAACTTCACCCTTAAGACAGATTTCCTTCTCTGGGGAGTCAGACCACAACCAACAACAACTCCCATTTGAATCCCAACACTGCCACTAACTAGCCAGCTAACCAAAGGCAAGTTACTTCATCTCTGTGCCTCAGATTCTTCTCCAGTAAAGTATGGATGATAACACTATCTCCCTTTACTACTCATCATGATATCAATTAAGGTCATGCTTATGAAGGGTTCAGTAAATAACTGACCTACAGTAAAGTGTTCCTAAAGGTTAATTTACTAAATTATTCAAGTATTCAAGTCTCCTCTGCCCAAACATGCAATGGAGAAGCCAACTCCCAGAGATTGAACCCAGAGCAGTGTACCAATGGTACATTCCCAGTCTTTTTTTTTTTTTTTGTCCTTTGTTGAGACAGAGTCTCACTAAGTTGCTTAGAGCCTTGCTAAGTTTCTGAGGCTGGACTTGAACCTGCGATCCTCGGACCTCAACTTCCCGAGTCACTGGATTACAGTCATGTGCCACCATCCCTGGCCTTCTGCCTTTTCTTCTCACCACAAACCCTTTTGAAACAGCAGCTGTGCCTGGCCCCTGTCAGGGTCCTGAGATATGACCACCCACCTTCTGGGCTGTTCCACATCTGCAGTGCCTGGGTTCCCTCTGCCTCAGGTCCTGCCTGTGGCTTCTTTTCTTTCTAGTTTCCCTCTTTGGATTTGTTGAGATCAAAAAGAAAAAGATACCCCAAAGTACAGCACTTTGGCATGCTGAGTACTGTGAACTAAAGCAAGTCGGAATCCCTCCAAACTAACGTCTCTGACCTTCTCCGGCCCTCCTGTCTCTTGCCCTCCTGTCTCTTGCCCTCCTGTCTCTTGCCCACCATGTTCCCCAGAAACAAGTCATATAAATGAGAATTCCTCTTCTCCCCAGTAGGCCATAGGAAATGGGACCCCTTCCCCCATAAAAACACTACACTTAGTCCTCCTGCTCCCAACCTTTCTGTCTTGGAGCTAGACCTAAAGAAATTCTCTGACCCACTCTTTTCCCATGGTGGGTCATAAGACCCTCATTCCAGAAGGGTCATGACCATTACTGGGGAGGAAGAAATGCTACAACCAGAGAAATCAGGAAGAATCTGAACACAGGCCTTGTGTGTTCCTCTCTAGCCTACTGCTGTCATTTCATCCCATGACATTTCTACAGGACTGTCCCTGCTTCATAGAATGTAAGCATAAGAGAGGCATTTCTGCCTTTGTGTCTTCATTCTGAAAGTTCCTCACATAAAACTAGGATTAAATTAATCTGTTATATTTTTCTCTTACTCTGTTTTTCTGTTTGTTTTCTGAGATGGGGTCTCCCTCTGTGGCCCAAACTATCCCAAATTCCTGGGCTCAAGTGATCCTCCTGCCTCAGTCTCCCAAGTAGCTAGGATTACAGGTGTACATAATTGAGACTGCCTCATGTTACAGAGTTATGTTGGGAAGACAAGGGATCACCTTTACTACCCCTACACATCTGTGTCTCAAAACCAGTTCCCAGAACTTCTCCCTCCCTGAGCATTCTCCCTCTGTCCTCTCCTCCTTCTATGTCCCAAGGGACACCCTTCCCAGGCTTCCATCTGCATTGCTCTGTCTTCACTCGATAGCAGTGGTCCCCAATAGAGCTCAGGCACCACAGACTCTGGTGGTTCTAGAATTCTCCACTTGAATTCCTTCTGCACTCTGGAGTTAGTATTTCTGACAAACTTTTCATATTTCCAATGAGAGGCATGTCCTGAAACACCCTGAAATCACTATGTCTCAATCAAATCATGCCAGTACCCTCCCACCCTCAGAAGTCAGTTTATTTATTAGCATCCCCACGGTCCCCCTTACTCCTACCCAAGCTTCTGAGTTACCCTCTAGTTCCCCTTGCTTGCTAGCTTTCTTTTCTATCAGCCCACTCTGCTTTATGACCAGTGTAAATTGTCAGAACACCCAACTTTTCAAAAGTCCAAACAAATGGCCTTCTCTGTGTCCACTCTGCAAGAGTGTGGGCCCAACAGTTGGCTCCCACTCACAAGAGGTCTCATCTTGCCGAAGTCAAGCCTGAGTTAAGGAGACAGGGAAGTTCAAGGTAACAGAAGAAGGCTGCATCTAACTTTCTTTTTTCTTTCCAGTATATTCTAAGCTGAAATGACAGCAACAGATGCACCAGTGGAACCTAAGAAGGTCTTTGGTAAAGGGGAAATTAAAAACACACATACAAAGGCTCTGAAATGGGGGGGAGGGGCAAGGAAATTCTGTGTGGCCTTGGAGCATGTCAAGAAAACTTGAATTATTGTAGGGTTCTCCCAAATCCCCTTTGGACTGTAACTCCTTAGGAAAACAGACACACCCATATTAAGGAGCCTCACAGAAACACAAAACACAGCTCCCAGGTCCTTCACATGCCTTTTCCCTGTTTCAGAAGCAGAAGTGAGTCGGAACTAGGATATAGCCTTACCTGAAACCATAGTTTCTAGTTCCAGGCTTCTTTGCTCAAAGAAAAAGTGTTCCCAAGCAGACACGATTAGCTCAAACCATTTTTGGAAAAGGGCTATCAAAGCTTGGGCAATGGTTCAACTATGCAAAATTCCAATCCATTAGGATCGGGCACATGTGGAAATGATTAATGTGCAACTGCTGTGTGTCATCTGGGCCATCAGTAACTGTCAAAACCACAGCAAACATTGAAATAGTACAGGAAAATCCGTAAACGGTTATAGGCCAGCTATACTTTTCCAGAAGGTGAAATTACCGTTACTTTTTCCATTAAAATAAGACTGCATAAACGGATTTCTGAAGCACTTGTCATGGGGAACCCTCTGTTTCATGGTACCACCAGAAGACAGAGACCAAGAAAGGAAGCTAGCCAGGGTTGAGTACCTCCCTGTAATGACACAATGCTCATTGTACAATGAGCCCATACTGGCTTCTCTGCGTTTTTTTAAGAGTCACATTTTTTCCTTGCTTCACTTCTCCAACATGCACACTGGAAACAGTGCTCACTATCCAAACCATTAAAACTAACTTTCTTAAAAACAAACAAACAAAAAAAACCTAACTTTCTAGAAGAAAGTACCATAAAAAGAAAGAAATAGAATCTCTCCAAAAATAAAAACAAAACTCTCTTAATCTCCAGACCAGCGAAAACATTCTTGAAGTATGTTGCTAATTCATATACTTAGCTACCGGCTACCTTCTCCTTAACTCATTGACTTAGAATTAAAAGAAAAACAACTCGATCGTAGCTTTCAAATGCACGTTATAAAAGCAAGTGATTCCGACGCTGACATTGGCTTCCAGTAAAAAGCAGAGGCGCCTCCATGAGACGTAGTTTTCCCTCACAGGGATGTGTGCCTGGAGAGTGTAGCCAGTCTGCGGTCTGACTGCTTGTGAGGCGGGGCCCGCCAGCTGGGGCCAAGGCGCCTAGTAAGCGAACTGGACGCTTAAGGGGACAAGAGGAGCTGGCCACGGTGCTCTTCCTCCCTCAGGAACCAGGCCCCTTCCTGCCACTTGTTCTCATTGGAGGAGAGGATGCAGGAGAGAAAAAGAAGTACTATCTCAGAATCTAATGGCCCTACCTCTGCCTCCCTCCAACAATCCGCTTTTTAGGGGTCAGTCCCAAGTGCTTTCAGATTCAGATGCTGCCTCCAAACAGAGGGCCAGACATAGTACCACCTGGGACCCGACAGGTGGCGGCCTTAGGGTAGCGCCCTCAAGTCCCGGCTGGGACAGTAGAGTCGCGTCTGACGCACAACTGCAGCCCGGGTGGGAACGGGCACCCAGTGGGGCCGGACCACCCTCCCCCGCTCCCCATCCCAGTTGCCCGGGCTGGGGGACTGCGGTAACCCGAGCTGTCTGCACGGAACTCTTCCCCACAGTGAGATTCCCATTTCCCAAACAAGACCACCAAGACCCTACGATGCAGGGAACTCGCCCACATTCCCGCCCAGGGAGCAAGCCCAGGTCAGCTGTCCTAAAGCCCTGCGGTCCCAGGGATGGCTGGGAGAAGCCGCGACCGAGGCTGGGTGCCCAGCACGGTGCCCTCCAGGGGTTCACATGTGGCAGCTCCTCCTACAGCTCCTCGGATCATTTCCTCTTTTTTCCGCGTGCCCTGCATTTAAACTTTCTGGGGTAAACGCGGGCGCCTAGCCCGCTCCCCACCCGAAGGCAACGGCGGCAACAGGTGCGCGGCTAGCGGCGTCCTGGCGCCTACTCCGGGAAGTTCCCTTGGCCGCGGCGCGCTGTTTACGTCTCGTTTTGCAGCGCTGGAGCCTGGAGCTTTCGGGCGGGACGAGCCATTGAAACCCGAGACCCGAGACGCGAACAGGGGCGGTTGCAGAAGGCTGCAACCCAGGGCGCACCGGGTCGGATCCGCCGCGGCTCCCCTTACCTGCGGCTTTGAGGGAGCTCTCGTCCTCCATGCTCCGGCTCCGGCGGCGGCGCCCAGTCGCCCTCCCCCCCCCCCCCCCCGCCCCACTGTACCTCGAGAATCCCCTGAGACTTCCCCACACCCTGCCACGGCCGCCACACCAGCCACCCCACCTCAGGCTCCTCTCACCCCGCTCTTCCCTCAGGGTGCCCTCACTCCTCGCCTCATCCCTCAAGACCTCCGCCGGGTAGTTTGTCAGCTATCAAAACCGTGGCTCCCCGAAAATTTTGCATTCTTTCCACCTTCCCATCTGATTGACCAGCCAGGAGGAGTATTTATTATTCCCCTTAATGTGGGGAGGGGAGAACTGTTCGCGACCCCCATACACACACGCAACCCCTTAGCCAGTGTCTCCAAGCCTGGCCACTTTCATGCCTCC